GGACGAGGGGGGGGGGGGGGGCTCTGAGATGCCTTCCATGGCGGCGGAGCAGCCCTGGAAGGCATCCCGAGGCACGGCCTACGGCCTACAGACTGGAAGAGGGAGGCATGGAAAGGGAAAACCTTTCCCTGCCTCCCTCTTCTGGTCCGTAGGTCGAAAAGTATGTAAGTGGAGCCGACCGTAAGTCGAGACTCCACTGTAATTCGTTCACCACGGGGGGGAACCCCAACACTGAGCTAACTCACCTGTCCTCCATTCCACCGCAGCCTTCCTCTTCGACTGTCTTCTATCACGTCACCTGCGCAAGGATCGCTTCCGGCCTCTTGTGCCGTAACAGTCAAAACTTGAGAGATCCCAGTGTCGGATCTCGCGAGTTTTGCTTACTGCCATGCTGGGTGACCGGAGTTGGAGCTCCGGCTCATTCAGCGGCGACAGGTGGGCCAGACAGGAGTAGCAACCAGCAGGCTGGACAGGAGCAGCTCTTGGGCCGTATGTGACCCACGGGCCGCACTTTGCCCAGGTCTGGCCTACAGCAAGTCATAACATCTTCATGAGAACGACTGCTACAAAGTTATTACTGAAAGACAGAACTAACATGCTAAAGTACATTTATTCTAACAATTACTGTAGAAAGCTACTCACTAGTATTTTTGGACATGATCAGCCTCTTCAGTCTGTCTTCACTGCAGCTTTGCAAGAGTGTCACATCACAATTTCCTACATCCAAAATAACTTCGTACATGAAAAGTTCACGGGTTTTGCTGACAGCAAGCAGTTTAAGATTGTCCACTACAGGATCGTCAAACTCCACATTCTCCCATGTGAAACTAAAATAACAAATTTTCAAAATATGTTTGGTGTGAATATGTATACATATAAATATTTCTTACAACTAGAATGTTTAACCATAGCATAGCAACAAAAATGATACTGATGCAATGTTACTGTTCAATTATAAGAATGCCACAAACAAGAACTGAACAAGGCAACCAATACACAACCAGTGAGCCAAGTATTTTACAGAGTGAAATGAACACAATATCCTTTGACATATGAGTATTACTGTAACAATAAAAAGGTAGTACTTGCCTCTCTGTTTCCAAAGAAGTAAACAAAAACAAGTACAGCTGCTTCAGAAGGGCTTGGAAAGCAATCCATTGCCACATTCTTTAGACATGGGAGACGATTCATCCAACATTATCTCACTATGGATGAACCTCACTCAGTGATTGGCTACACAATTGGGCTGGAACAGGCTCCTTGATTCCAAGTGGCATACACACACATCTCAAGCAACTTTATTTGGTCCACTTTTTTAAAGTATGTATTAGTTATTTATATTGTATATTAAAGTTAGGTGTGTATTATGTATGTACATACTTAATACATTGCTCTGAAGGGTCCAGCTGAGAGCCTACTCACAGTCTTATATACATTGATCAGCCACAACATTAAAACCATTGACTGACGAAGTGAATAGCACTAATTATACTGCTACAATGGCACCTGTCAAGGGCTGGAATATATTAGGCAGCAAGTGAGCAGTCAGTTCTTGAATTTTATGTATTGGAAACAAGAAATATGGGTAAGTGAAAAGATCTGAGTGACTTTGACAAGGGCCAAATAATGATGGCTAAATGGGTCAGAGCATCACTAAAACATCATATCCTGTGGCGTGTTCCCCGTATGCAGTAGTTAATACCTACCAAAAGTGGTGTAAGGGTAAACCAGTATCAGGGTCATGGGTGTCCAGGGCTCATTGATGCATAGGAGGAGGGAGGTCTAGCCTGTCTAGTCTGAACTACTGTAGCTCAACCTGCTGAAAAACTTCATGCTGGCCATAACAGAAAAGTGTCAGAATGCACAGTGCATCACAGTCTGCTTCATATGGGTCTGATTGTCCCTGTTCATGACCAAAAACACTTACAATGGGGATGTGAGCATCAGAACTAGACTATGGAGCAATGGAAAAAAAGTTGTTGGTCTGATGATTGACATTTTCAGGTGGATAGCTGGGTACATGTGCATCATTTACCTGGGGAAGAGATGGCAGCAGGATGCATTATGGGAAGAGGGCAGGCTGGCAGAGGCAGTGCTATGCTCTTGACAATGTTCTCCTGGGAAATCTTGGGTCCTGTCATTCATGTGGATATTACTTTGGCACATACCACCTGGCAATGGTGTTCACTGATGGCAGTGGCCTCTTTCAGTAGGATAATGCACCCTGTCACGCTGCAAAAATTGTTCAGGAGTGGTTTGAGGAACATGTGTTGCCTTGGCCTCCAAATTCCTTAGATCTCAGTATGACTGGACATCTATGGGATGGGCTAGAACACCAAATTTGATCTATTAAAGCCCCACCTCACAACTTGCAGGACTTAAAGGATCTACTGCCAGATACCACAAGACATGTTCAACAGTACTGTGGAGTGCATGCAATGCATCAGAGCTGTTCTGGCAGCATGAGAAGGACCTACGCAATATTAGTTGGTTTTAATGTTGTGGCTGATCAGTGTCCATGTCTATAATACTTGTCTTGATACATTTCTTTCCCTTGTCTTTAAGGGGGCAGATTTGGATGTGAGCAGTTTCTTGACAAGCCCTTTAAGACAAGGAAAAGAAAAGTGACACACCATATTTTTGGTGCCCCAATCCAGTCTATTTTTCTCCTCACCAAGGAACAGAGGAAGTGTTTAGCCAACATCCTGAAGTGCCTCTCTTACTAGGCCACTTCACCATACTGGCAAATAAAAAGAGGAAGGGCTTTGGTTCCTTCCTAGAGATCATACATGCAAGGAATGGACCTCCATACACACACACACAAAAAACATCCCTGACAGAGGCCAGAAAAGTGTGAACAGGATTGCTGTGGAGATGGGTTGGTTCTTTCCAACAAAGATGTATCATCTGATCATAGTTTCTAGGATCAAATTAGCCTGTCCCTGCAAGGGACCAAATACTAGAATAAATACCGGTACTGTATAGTCAGACCCTCAATCTCACACGCCCCTGCATGCAAATAAATAGAAAAATCACACTGAGAATGCAATGGTTTTAAAACTCGGCCAGCCACGCTTTCAAACAGACAACACCCTTTCCTTTTTAAAGTTCCTGATGGTATTAGCTAGCTAGAGGAACCGAGGAGGAGTGGGCGAGTTGGTTTCCGAAGCCATTCGGGCCATGGAAACGATTCGTCTCTGCTGCTCGCAAGGAGACCACACGGCCCCAGATCGAGCCTCGTCGCCACCGGCGTCCTGCCTCTCGCGTTCCGCGCCGCTTGAGCTCCCTTTGCCGGCGTTTGTACAACTGAAAAGAGGTGAACGGAGGAGGGCAGCCCGGCTCCTCGCTTAACGGAGCACTTACTCTTCCCAGGCGCCGGGCAGCGAGAAGCCACGGAGGGGGTCCTGCTGGGCCGAAGTCAGGCCGGTCAGGAATAACTCCGTCTCCAGGGCGACTGCCAGCGCTCGTTGGCCGCTGCTGAGCTTGGCCCCAACGATCCTTCCCGGGGGGCTCCGAAGCGGGAGCAGAAACACCTGCAGCGCCTCCGCCATGGCCCTCCGCTCCCGAGAAGAAAAACCGCCGCCGCTTCTTCTCGGTCGCCTCACGCACTCCCATGACCCGCCAGCGCCATCTTAGGCCGCAGCCCGAACACGGAAGCGAAGGAGCGCCTCTGCCCACTACCAGCGGGCTGCCGGCAGAAGGCCCTCGTTCTCAGAAGGAGGGCGCAGACTCGGGAAGGCCCGCTGGGCGCCGGGAACTGTGCGGCCTCTCCGAACGGCGCGGCCCTGGCAGAAGGCGGGCCCGAGCCGCCACCGCCTCTTCCCTGCCCGTAGGTCCCGCCTTGAGGCGGAAGCTGCCGCTGAGGCCGATGGAGGGCTCGTGGTTGTCTTGCCCGGGAGGGGTTGCGAGGCTCGGCGCGGGAAAGAAGAATGCTCTCTCTGGGGCTGCTGTGGCGGGGGGTCACCACCGGGGGGCGTTCACTAGCGGGGGCCATGAGGGGACGGAGGCCGGGCTGGAACCCCCACGCGGAATCCGGAGCGCCGCCGGCAAAGCCATGGATCAGGGCCGGGCCCTCGAAGTGTACGGTCAGTGGCACCGCGTAGTGTACGTGTCTCTCGGCCTTCTGCGGTGTCGGGGAGTGGAGGAGGAGGCGGCGGCTCAGCGGCCTCTCCGAAGGAACCCTGCGCGTCCGGCGATGGTTTGCTCTGTTTTGGGGGCCGGCCTGGCCTTTCGGTCTCGGCCAGAAGGGGAATGGGCGCCGAACTCCCGGGTTGAGGGCGCTGGTCATCATGGCCGCCCTCGAAAGGGCTGCTGGCCGCTCGCGTCAGATTGGGGCCAGACCCGGGGGTTCGTGGAGCGAGGCAGCCGGCGGTCTCCGGTCATGGGGCGTTTTCATTAGGGACATTTGCTGACCCTTAAACGTAATTTAGGGTCCTTCTCCATTTATACTTTTACGTTGGACGCAACAGTTAAATTGGAGATAATTCGTCTCCACAGCCAGCCGTAAGGGTTAAAAATAAGCAGTCATTCCCTTCTATAAATAAAAGCAAAAGGCAGAGACAGATAATGTGTTTATTAGGACCATCTAAAATGCTACAAAAGTGTTCAAGATTTCTGGTGTTCTCATGACACAAAAAGGTGGAGAATCAGGAAAGAAAAAAAGGCCAAACATTTGGCCCGATGTGTTGCCATTGTCTTCAGTTAGACAGTTTCAAGATGGAGATGTATAATGCCTGGAGAAGTCACATAAGAAAGTATTAATTTAACTCTAGTGTTATTCGCTGTATTCCATTATTAATTGTTTATGTGTACCTCTGAAGAAAGAAAAAGTAAAGGATCTTATGTTTAACTTTACCATTGCAGCACAAGCAGGGATCTAAGGCACAGGTACACTGGATTTTTCATTTCTTCTGGATCTGGAAGCTGCACCTGGTGCAGGATGACCTACAGTAGTCATGTATTGGCTCTGCTAAAGGTGGTGTGTTTATTAGTGGACCAAGTTTAAAGTGTGTTGTTGGTTTATAAAACCTTGAATAATTTGGAGAGACTTCCTTCTTCCCCATAATTCAATTGGTAATGCCAAATACTCATGCTCTCTGGGGTCATTCTGAACAAAATGTCTGGCATGGTGGAATACCCTTCTCTCGAAAACCTACATGGCACAATTGTTTGTAGTTATAAACACAAACATTTGAATATGTGTCTATTTTTGCAAGCTTTCTCTGTGAAAAAAAGAGGAACTTACTATTTATGTAATATTGTATTTTTCCATCCTTTTACACTACTTGACATTTCTGGACTTAACGGGGCCTAGAAATAAATTTATTAAAACTTGCTTATTTATCGATATTCATTTGTGAGTATTCTACTCAAATTATAGAACACATTGGTGCCCACTGACTGAACTTTAACAATCACAGATCTTTTGCTTACTGCTCTACAGTAATGCACTAATATATATTTAGAGGGCAGGTTATCATCCAGACTCTCCTAGATGTTTACAGTGGATATGATGGGTTGTATCAAATAAACTACAATTTTGTGATTCCCTGTGCAGAAGCATGAATCCAAAATATAACTGATTTTCAGCTGATGTAAATTTTATCCACATATTATTCTGACCTTTGTTGAATATGATTGGGCTCATTCACTTTGCAGCATGCTAATAGAAACATGACTTCAGAGCACAAAACCCTGAAAATAGGCATGATTATTACAGAGGTCTCCCCAGCACCACCATGCTATAAATTCACAGTCCAAACCCACATAGTTAACTGGAAAAAACAGGTGTGATGTTTTTACAGTAAATTATGTAGTGATATTGATTCTCTGTTGGATTTTACATGCACTTTTCCTTAACATCATCATCAAATCAAAGTACACATCCTACCCCAAGATCTTGGAATTATTGTAGATCACAAACTGAGTACAGCCCAACAGGTTATACTCAGGAAAACGTCCTGTTAGAACAGTACGACAGTGGAACCAATTGCCTGAGTAAGTAGTGAGCTCTCCAACACCAGAGGCATTCAATAGAAAGTTAGACAGCCATCTGTCAATATACTTTAACTTGGATTCATGCATTGAGCTAGGGATTTGACTTGATAGCTTAACTTAATTCTTCAGTGATTCCACTGTAAATTTCACAAGAGTGATCATTCTAGGCCCTGCCATGATGCAGCAATATGTATTTAAAATATTACTTTGATTTTCTTATGCTGTATCCCCCAAACCATGGTCAAACTGTAGATCAAAACTGTATTCTCACATTTCAATTTTAAAATTAGGTACTGTATCCATTTCTTGTATTGTACTGCCCTAGGAGAAAATATGGATCCATGTAAAAATTGACAGGATTTGCATTTCTGTGCCATGGCAACACTGTGAAATGTAGGAGTTTATGTTCCATAGCAATGCAGTGAACAATTGAATTGATTTTCCAGATATAGTCTATTGGGTTAGATCTGTAATTTGATATCATTCTTATGAGATACCATGAGAATTCTGAACATTAATGCCAAATCCATATTTTTCCATCATGTAGTGCCAGGAAGTGAGGAATCCTTGATTGCTGTGATTTGGGCTGTGTGTGCATATGATCTGTGAATTGTTCGTTTTGTGGGGGGGTACTCTAAAAATCATCTGATGTGAATATTAATTCCTGAGGAGGATGGGTACATCCTAGTTGACTATTCCAGTTATGACTATTCTTTGCATTACTGCTAGGAGTCCAGAATCATAGCAGAGTTTAGTCTCTTGATAACACTGTTGTCAGTTTCTCTGATACACTCAAACCCTCTCACCATGTTGGTGTGCATCTGTCAAAAACACCCCAGGAACATGTGTTGCTAAGCCCCACCTCACAATAGCGAGGTTAATCCGTTCCGGATTAACCTTCGCTATACGAAAACATCGCTGTGCGGGGCAGGAAAACCTATTGGAACGCATTAAACTTAGTTTAATGCATTCCAATAAGTGTGTAAACTTACCCCCTCCAGCGATGTTTTCGCTCCGGCGGCCATTTTGGAGCCGCCGATCAGCTGTTCGGCGGCTCCAAAATGGCCCCCGGAGCCCCAATCGTCGCAAAGCGAGTGCGGCGATTGGGGCTGATCCGTATAGCGATCCCCAAAAAGGGATCGCTATACGGATTTTTCGTTAAACGGTGCACTCGTTAAGCGAGGCACCACTGTAAATACCAATAGTGAAGCATTGAAAGATGGGCAGCAGATTTTTCAAGGACAACTCTAGTGATACTGGAACTGATTCTTATTAGTACTGTGCAAAAAAATCAACTGCTGAATATCTTATACCTTGAAACCCTTATGATAATGAGACAGTCCAAAATAAAATCAGAGATAGTGTGGGAAGTTGAGACTTCCAGGTTGCAAAGAGTTCAGTCAGCTACTGGGTAGGAGCAAAGGACAAGTGTGAATAATGAGGAAAACAGATTAAGATTGGAAGTTACTGTTGTGTACAGAAATAAAAGGAAGGTCCTGTGCTCCAAAGTTTTAAACCAGAGTCTAGCACTAGTAGTGGATTAGATGAAAGCAAACAAATTGGATCTTAATACAGACAAGACAGAGGTGCTCCTAATCAGATCAAGAAATTGACCTTCATCCTGTGATGGCATGAATCTGAATGCTCAGGTTTCTGCAGTAGCCATAAGTGTTCACATAATTAAATGTGCTGATTGCACCCATCCCTCAATATATGTGACTTGGCCTTAGTAACCCATACCTTAGTTATGTCACATTTTGACTGCTATTATACAATTTAAGGTAGGATAAATAGGAGGGTGTTTAGTGGATCCAAATAATACAGCTAGACTATTGATCCATTTGGATCACTTTGACACCCTCTGTGTGCAATAGGCTTTGAAAAGTGCCTGTAAACTTCAGAGTAGCCAAAGTGCTGTGCCTGGGGCCCTCAGAGAGAAGACACATTTCTTGTTACGATAGCTGGACTGGATACTGATCCATTTCCAGGCACAGGTCAAAATTCTGATTATGATCTATAAAGCTGTATAAAAGTGGAGTCCAGCCTTTCTAGTATTCCCTCATATGAGCAAGCTGATATGCTCACACACCATAGAAATTGCCAGCGAAAGGCAGGTTTTTCACAATTGACAACTAGTTGAGAAAGAGGATTTTTATGGAAGGGTGGGGTGGAGTTGTACAGTGGTGCCTCGCTTAACGAGCGCACCATACAACGACGAATCCGCATAGCGATCCCCTTTTTGGGATCGCTAATGCGGAGGCATACCGATCATTCCAATGGGCAAAACTCGCATAGCAACGATTGGTAAGCGTTTCGCTTACTGATCTTTGCTTTGCGATGCCCACGGATCAGCTGTTCGGCGGTTCTAAAATGGCCACCGGACCCCCGAAATGGCCACGCGCAGTGTTTTCGCGCCCTCCCCTCGCTTACCGAGGGCGTGAAAATGGCTGCTGCTATGGAGGATACTTCGCTGAACGGTAAGTTTAGGGCCTATTGGAACGCATTAAACGATGTTTAATGTGTTCCAATGGGTTTTTATGTTCCATTTAGCAATGTTTTCACATAGCGAACGGATTAACCTCGCTATGCGAGGCACCACTGTATTGTAGTTTTAAAAACACTTTGAAACAGGAACTGAGAATATATCACAATAGAGAGACATTTTTGGATTTAGACATTGGTTAAAAGGTAGGATTTTTCTTCACTGTACTTAACATGCTTGATTTTGAGGGCCTCGTGGCGCAGTGGTTAAACCGCTGTACTGCAGCTACAACTGTGCTCATGACCTGGGGTTCAAATCCCAGGTAGCTGGCTCAAGGTTGACTCAGCCTTCTATCCTTCCGAGGTCAGAAAAATGAGTACCCAGCTTGCTGGGGGGGCAATGTGTAGCCTGTATAATTAAATTGTAAACCACCCGGAGAGTGCTTGTAGCGCTATGGGGCGGTATATAAGTCCAATCAATCAATCAATCATATTATTAGTGTTTTAACATTATGATGTACTGTGATTTTGCTTGTATTTATTTTTTTAAAATTATGATGTAAGCTGGCTTGACTTCCAGACACTGAGACAAGGTAAATTTATGAACAAAATCAGTAGAGTTAGGCTCAACCTCTTAGACATGTACAATGTGTTTGTTTCTGCTTAGATATAATTCGAACTATCCGAGATCCAGAAAAGCCCAATACTTTAGAGGAATTAGATGTGATAACAGAAAATTGTGTTGAAGTACATGAAACAAGTGAAGATGAATATTTGGTTACAATCAAGTTTACACCAACTGTACCTCATTGCTCTTTGGCTACTCTAATTGGTAAGATGTCTTTTTTCTTCTTCTTTAACTTGCAAGTGTTTGTGTCTAGTTAAATACAGTGGTGCCTCGCACAACGAGTGCCTCACACAACGATGAATTCACATTTCATAGGTTTCAGGAGGTGGACTAACCATTGCAATCATTTAAAACAGCGTCCAAGCATTGTAAGACACTTTTACAGGAGCGAAAAGGGAGATCGGGAAGAACTTTAAAAGGCAAACGGAGATCAAAGAGCCCTTTCCCGATCTCCCTTTCCGCTCCTGTAAAAGTGTCTTACAATGTTTGGACGCTGTTTTAAATGATTGCAATGGTTAGTCCACCTCCTGAAACCTATGCAAACTGATTTTGGTGTTGTTCTGACACTTCGTTAATTTATGATGATTTTTTGTTTTTTCCATTGGAAACCATTAGACAGACCATCCAATGGTTTCCAATGGAGAAAATTCAAAAAATCATCATAAATTAACGAAGTGTCAGAACAACACCAAAATCAGTTTGCATAGGTTTCAGGAGGTGGACTAATCATTGCAATCATTTAAAACAGCTTCCAAACATTGTAAGACACTTTTACAGGAGCGAAAAAGGACTTCGCAAAGCCATTGGAATGTACTGAGTCGGCTTCAATACATTCCAATGAAGGAAACATTGTTTCACACAGCGATGTTTCATATGGGGATTTTCACTCAGCGATGGCTATCCGTTCCAATTGGATTAACCGGTTTTCAATGCATTCCTATGAGAAATGGTGTTTCACAGAACGATGTTTCACACAACGTTGATTTTTTTGGAACCAATTAACATCGTTGTGTGAGGCACCACTGTATATTTGTTCATTTTACTTTAAACAATGTTATTGTGTCAATCTTAAATTGTTGCCATAGTTTCATTTTGTCTGTTCATCTAAATGTAGGAAGTGCAAGTTATAAATATAGGCTGGAATTCTATTGCACAACTTTACACCATACAACTGTAATTATGTCATCAGCCATGGCTGTTTCCCAGTGAGTTGGGGCCATTAAAAAGTTCCCTCCCCTGTTCTGCATTTTCCAAAGTCTCCCCCAGAATGATAAAGCTCATAGGAACCCCTTGAGCCTGGTGTGGTAGAAATAGGAAACTTTTAATTCCCCTGAAATGGCTGTGGCTGATGACATGATTACAGTTACTTCACTTTATTTGGACTTATACCCCACCCCTCTAGACAAAGGCTACTCGGGGCGGCTTACATGTTGTGTAAAATTGCTCAGTAGGGTCTTGGCCGCAGTATCCTGTTTTCAGTCAATCTTAAAGTCTGGTTCAGTCAGTACTCTCACCTAAACCTGGAATCCTAAACAATTCCTAGGGCTGACTGTGGTCTGTAACAGCCTCAGAGTGTCAGTCCCCCACATGCACACACACATCTATATGGACTATATGCATGTTTCTATACAGAAGTTGCAATAGCTCAGTGGCTTAGGATGCACCTGGGAATTTGATTTCCCACTGTGTTTCCTTGATGGGGGTTGGACTCAGTGATCCATAGGTTCCTTAAACTCTGCAGTTCTAAGATGATGATGTTCTTTTAGGTATAATGGAAGATTTCTGAGTACATATGTATGTATGTCAGCTTTGAAGTATGCCTTGACTTGTCCTTGTGAAAATCATTATCCAGATTATGACAAAATTCCCTGCTTCAGTGGTCAGGCCATTCTAAAGGGACAAAGCACTAAAAGACAGCTTCTTGTCCATTTGTATTTGAATGCTGTTACATTTGAATGTCAAATTGATTCCTGCTTGCTTCTTTTCTAATACTTTTCCATAGTTGAAAAATGGTAAAATGTGCCTTCTTTAAATTAAGAAAATTAAACCTTGGAAGAGAAGCCATTAATAAAATAAGTTCACTATCAAAGCTTGTTCTCCCTAGCATGTTTGTAAAACGGAGGTGCAAGTGGCTGAGCAGGATATTGTACTACATAGCCACCCGCCAATAGCTAGTTTGGTAAAAAGGTAACTTGAGGGGCAATTTATAATCGGTTTTATGAGGAGAAAGACAATTAATGCATTTCTTATTAAAATTTAGGGCTGTGTTTGAGGATCAAACTTCAGAGATGTTTACCTTTTAAGCACAAGGTATGTCATTTGTGCATTCACAAGAGTGTCATTTATGCACTCGTAGAAGAGGTAGCCATGTTAGTTATGCACTCTGTTTTAAATGTTAAAAGTCACTGTATATTAAACTGCAGAAACTGTGCAGAAGAGTGGTTTCACAATTCATGGGAGTACATTTGTGCCTGTGTAGCTGAAAATGTCAGAATTCAGTGGGCTCTTATTGTGTTTTGTGTTTCACATTTTGCTTTTGCAAGAAGCAACAGAAGGTGGAGACAAGATTGGTGCTATTAGGAAAAGTAATTCTATTTGTATTCATTGGAAGGACATGAATTACAATTACAAGATTACAAGATGCAACGTCCATAGACACTTTTATCAAAATGAAATGGTTTCATTCTAGAGAAGGATAAAATAGAGATTGTTCACGTTGTGAATATATTTGAGACCTAGTTCTAGTTAATCTGTAAGTAGTGGTATGAATTTTGTGTAGATGCAGTGCTATAGAAGTTTTAAAAAATAAATACATCTAAGACAACATTTTCCGTCTCCATCTAGCTGGAAATCTATATATCTGAGGGAACACATTTCACTGAAGAGGACAGTAAGTATGTCTTCAGTTTGTGTTCTAGAATATAGTTGTTTGTTGTGTAATGAATGCAGCAGGTTGCATCCCATAGGCTGGATTGTGTGTTTCATTCTTCGGGAGAGTACCTGCCTCCACACTTCTGTGCATGTTGATTTATGGTATGTTGAAAGTGCAATAAACAGAGGTCAGCTAAAAGATTTCTCAAATTTTTTAAGAAAAACAATCTGGACAAAGTTTCTCTAATATGTGTCTTGCTTAATTATTTTGTAAATGCACAGGGAGTAGTCTAACACTTTGGGGCAATATGTAAGTGGGGGGAGAGGACGTTTGCTCTGAAAGTATAGATTCTTTGTGGCCTCTGTGAATGCACACAATTGGGTTGTTCTGTACTTGTGCAGGACCTCTCGGACGTTTCTAGAGCTTAAAGATGTGATTAGTGGGACATTCCCCCTTGGAGCACATGCTCTGCCCGCCAGAAGTCCCCTCAGTTCCTTTTAGCCTCTGCTTAGGTTAGACCTATTTCCCTATTTCAGGGAGAGCTAGAGCGATTGAGTGTTTACTGCGATCAGTAGTTGCTTCTGTTATTTCAATCACTTTTTTGTTGGATGTTTCCCCTCTAAATTGATTTGTTCTACTTTCAGTTTGATTCAGTTTTTTTTCTCTTTGTTGGATGTTTCCCCCCCCTTTCCCCCCATTTTCTCTCCAATTTTCCCTTGTCTTTATGCCCCCCCGGGCCTTTCAAGCACCTGCATACTTTGTAATAACAAGATCCCACTCACTGATGGCCACAACCTTTTCTGTCTTGGGGAACAGCACCAAATACACACTTGTCCTGAGTGTAAAAGGTTCACAAAGCCTGCGCTTAAGCTGTGACTTCAGAGGCTGCCATCTTACCTTTGGGAGAAATCCCTCAATCCACCTTCGGTCACCATAGACTGCACTGTCCCTAGATCTTCGACCTGATCACCAAGAGCCTCTTAAACCAGTCTCTAGTCCAATGACTCCTTCTCCTCACCAAGCGGAGAAGTCAAAGTCTACTTCGAGACCGAAGTCGATATCGACATCGAGGACCTCAGTTCTATCAACTCAATCATTTAAAAAGAAAAAAGATAAGACTACTTGAAAATAGCCTAAGAAATTGTTGAAATCTACTCAGATTCAACCACCCCAATCGACACTTCCATCCCCAATTTTGGAGGAAAGATCTAGACACGCCTAGGGATTGATGTCAGATGGAGATGAACCACCTCTGCCCCCGGCCCAGGCACCAGCTTCCACTAGTAGCTTGTTGCCAAGTACAGTGGTGCCTTGCAAGACAATGTTAATTCGTTCAGCGAAAATCGCTGTCTTGCTAAAACATCTTGCAAAACGCGGTTCCCCATTGGAATGAAATCTATTTAATGTGTTCCAATGGGGGGAAAAGTCTTGAAAAACGTGGTTCCCCACTGGAATGCATTGAAATCTATTTAATGTGTTCCAATGGAGGGGGAAAACGTTTTGTGAAGCATCGGTTTAAAAAAAAGTTTTGCGAAGCATAAACCCAAACATCGTCTTGTGAAAATCGTCCATAGAAAAAACCATCTTGCAAAGTGCAACAGCGATCGCAAAAGCCCATTGTCTTGTGGATTAATTGTCCTGTGAGGCAGTCGTCTTGCGAGGCACCATTGTATTGGCCTCTCTCCAGCTGACGTTCACTCCAGCCAGGCCTCAGCTCATTCAAGCCCTGCGTCATCAGGGCGGGTAATTCCGATTCAAATCTCTTGTTCAGACTCGTCTCATCACTCTGCTCGAAAACATCAGGCAAAGAGACGACACTTCACCAGTGCAGTATGACCCTACACGCCGAGATTACTATTACTACCCAGAATCTTCTTGGTATCAAGCACAAGAATATCTCAGAAATCGATACAACAATATGATCCGTATTTCCCCGAAGATTTACCAGAACAAATTTACTGCACCAAACCCAAGAGAATCCGATATGCTTTGCCGTATCCACCTCGATACTCACCTGAGTCTCCATCACCACCTTGATACCAACACCATTCCGACTCATTGCACTCGACATCGACTCACCAAATCCCACTTGCTACCACGCCGGCCCTAAAGTGCACTACTTCGTCATTGGAACAACCACAGTCAAAGTGTTCCAAGGATTCTTCTAATCATCCTGCCCCTCAAACCACATCTCTACACATTATGACCACCTATAAGGGTCCTCCTCCTCCTGATACGGAAAGGTACTCTACAACCCAAGAACCCCCTACTTCTCAACAGCCCTCTTTGACACAATTCTTCACATCAAAATCTCGACATCAGTCTCCATGCTCTGAATCGTCCATATCGACCTATGATTCAGCCTCTGATATTTCTCCAGAATCACCCTCCAATTTACCCACTCCAACATCTGATGTAGTGGAAAATCATGCACCCTTGCCTTTGGAAGATTTTACTTCGTACTCCTAGCTAGTGATGAGGATGGCTAAGTCCCTACAATTAGAAATGGAGGAACCACCACCTCCTAAACAAGACTTGGTTTTTGATGATATTAATCAGGAGAAGACACCTCCGCTTAGCCATACCTTCATACCTGCTATGCTATATTTGATTAAATACTCACAGGACAAACCGCCTTCATCAGTGAAATACAGGATAGACCTTATTCCGGCCATCAACGTCTACCGCACCATCCTTTCGACCCGAGCAACAGCAACCACATCGACAACCCTTTCAACACCAACAGATGAAGGGTAAAGCAATATCAATAAACCCCTTCCATCTTCCACCACTGTTTCCACTCCGTTTCAATCCAGGTTATACCCTTTCCTCAGTGCATGGCGTCGAATCACCAAGAACCAATGGGTCCTTTCGATTATCAAAAAGGCCTATTTCATCAAATTTCAGCATACTCCATCTTTCAGTGTCACTCTCATTAGCACTTCAAGAAGTTCCCCTTCTACTCCGAAAACAAGCCATACTCTGTTTCCCTTCCTCTACCCTGCATGATGGTTTCTACTCTAGATACTTCACTGTACCGAAAAGGATGGACGACTCCGTCCCATCCTCGACCTTAGAAACCTCAATAAATTCATTTGGCCTAGACGTTTCAGAATGCTGACACTCGACACTATCATTCCTCTCCTTTCATAGGGAAACTGGTTTGTTGTCATCGATCTCCAAGTATTTCCATGTATTTTCACATCTCTATCCATCCGAGTCACCACAAATTTCTTCAATTCTGATTCGATGTCATCTCGTACCAGTTCTGTTCTCTTCTGTTTGGACTCTCCACGGCGCCGAGGACCTTAACCAAGTGTATGGCACCAGTCTCTGCCTACCTCCGCCTTCAGGGAATCACTATATTTCCTTATATAGACAACTGGCTGATAGTCTCTGCTTCCTACCACAATGCTGTCTGAGCTACCTACGCAAATTACTCTCAACACTCTTCAAGACCTCGGTCTCAAGGTGAACCATGCTAGATCCCATATCGAACCATCAAAGACAGTCACCTATATAGGGGCATACATTGGTGCCCCGCATAGTGACATTAATCCGTTCCAGGAAAAACGTTGCTATCCGGAATCATCGCTATATGGAACGGAAAACCCCATAGGAATGCATTAAATCCTGTTTAATGCGTTCCTATGGGGGAAAACTCACCGCTATGTGGAAATCCTCCATATGGCCACCATTTTCGCCGCCCGGTAAGCGAGGAAACCGCTGCGGGCGGCCATTTTGTTTACCTGGTGGCCATTTTGGAACCGCCAATCAGCTGTTTAAAAAACATCGCAATGCAAAGATCGGTAAGCGAAATGCTTACCGATCATCGCAATGCGATTTTCAGCCACTTAAAACATCGCAATGCGATCGCTTTTGCGATAGCAAAATCCGCATCGCTATGCAGATTCGTCATTAAATGGCGCGCTTGTTATGCAGGTCATCACTGTACTTCGATTCCCTACAAGCCAGAACCTTTCTCCCTTACGAGAGGATAATCAAACTCAAACGGGCTATGCAACCATTCCAACTTCATTCTTCAGTATCAGCTCATCAAGCCCAACACTTCCTTGGGCTCATGGCTTCCACTACCGCTGTTATCCAGCATGCCAGGTTAAAGATGAGGTCTCCAGTCATGGTACCTCTCCCTTTTTGACCCCATGACACATCACCCATCCAGACACATCAGGATCACAAGCGGACTAGCCCAGCAACTTACATGGTGGACATTTCTCCCACATCTTGTTGGTAGACTCATCTCCCCTCTCCAGCTCACGATACAGGTTACCATGGATGCCAGCCTGTTGGGATGGGGCGCCCACAGGATCCATGGACTATGTAAAAAACAAGAGCAGTCATTACACATCAACCGCCTAGAGCTCTTAGTTCTTATCAAACTTCCTACCCATCATTGCAGGACGCGCAGTCCAACTTGCTACGGACAATACGACCATTCCTTATTATGTCAACAAGCAGGGCGGTGCACATTCCCTTTCCTTACTGTACCTAGCTGTCAAGCTCTGGGAATGGTGCTACCTTCACCACATCTTCCCAATAGCAGTCCATATTGTTCTGGACGACAATCTGCTTGCAGAGCATCTCAGTCGCTTTACCACAAGGATGCACGAGTGGTCTCTAGATGATGAAGTCTTCGCCCTTCTTTGCCATCAATGGGGGACTCCTTCTGTCGATGATTTTGCTACCAAGAACAATTCCAAAGTGCCAACTATATTGTTCCCGCACCGGTATTGGCAGAGGCTCTCTCAGAGATGCCTTCATGATAAGATGGGACAGCGGACTCCTCTACTTATTCCTGCCAATCCCACTGATATAACAAACCATCATTTGGCTGCAACAGTTTCAATCGGATGTGTTCCTTCTTGCCCCATGGTGGCCACAACAGCCGTGGTTCACCCACTTAAGGTCAATGTCGAGTGACCTCCTCCATCTTTCATCCAACCCCAACCTCCTCACTCGGGACAGTGGGCTTGCTTACCATCCTGATCTTGAATCTCTGAAACTGATAGCGTGGAGGATTCCCCCGCAAAAAGGGATATACTTGACAGGGCTCGAAAACCATCAACAAAGATCCTTTACCAACATAAATGTAGAGCATTCCTCTACTTTGTCAATTCTAAAAACTTACCTGTGGTACCAGTTTCAATGAAGACTTTACTTACCTTTATTACTCCCTCTTTTTCATCTTGAAATGGACCGTTCTACTTTGAAAGTTTATATTGCTGCAGTGGTCGCGCACCAACCATCTCATTCAGAAGCAGCTAAACGTTTTTCCCATCTAACTTTGAAAAAAATCCTTAAGGGACTTCGCAATATCCATCCTCCATGTTAACCTCCTCTTCCCCAATGGGTGTTATAACTTATCCTTAACGCATTAAGCCAGCCTCCCTTTGAACCGGTAGTTGACTAGGTGTTGGCTTAGTACACAGAAGATGTGAGATCAAATCCCTCTTGGCCATAGACATTCATTGGGGATGACAACAGTAAAAACATCTCACAAATCCTGAAAATCCTATCAGAGTCACCAGAGGTCAGGAGTGACTTGGTGGAAAATAACACCCACACTGTCTTAAAGTACCACAAGACTTAGTTGTTTTACCTAAGAAATTAGATTTCTGAGAATCATTTTATAAATATTTTTTCTACATAGACATCATACTTATCTTAAAAAATCATCCTTGTACCTTGTACAGTGGGGTCTTGACTTGAGAACTTAATCCGTATTGGAAGGCGGTTCTCAAGTCAAAACGTTCTCAGGTCAAATCTGCATTTCCCATAGGAATGCATTGAGAACCATTTGATCCGTATCTGCTCTTTTCTGTCCATAGAAACTAATGGGAAGCTGCTATTCTGCCTTCGACCACTAGAGGGGGATATTTTGTTTCTTTTTTTCTTAGGTTAAGAAAGGTTCAGGGAAGGCAGGGAAAATACAGTCCAGGCAGTCCAGTACCAGGCAGTCTGAAGACTGTCTCCCAATCCACTCTCTAAACGCTGGGAGGAGTGAGGAAGCAGACAGGCACCCTTTTCACTGGCCAACAGTTAACTGAAAGTTCAAATTTTGCACTTTCCCTGCCTCCCACGTGGTTTTTTTTCAGTTCTTAACTCAAATCTAAGTATGTAAGTCAAGTCAATATTTTCCTATGAGAGTGGTTCTTAAGTCAAAATGTTCTTAACTCGAGCCGTTCTTAAGTCAAGACCCCACTGTACTGCCTACCCTATTTTCATGTCCCTCTACAACTCTCGAGCGTATGCTCCACATGATGTTAGACATTCCTTGGCCTTTTACATTGACAGAACCAAATTGTTTAGGAAAGCATCAAGGCTCTTCCTATGTTTTCATGGCCCTAATAAAGGTTCACCAGCTTCGCCTCAAACGTCAGCTAAGTGGATTGTTTAAACAATTTCACTGGCATATGAACTGGCAGGCAAAACACCACCCGAACCCTTGAAGGCTCACTCGACTAAACCACCGTCTACCTCCACTGCCTTCCAACGAGGAATAGAAATCCCTCACATCTGCCATGCAGCTACATGGTCCCATCCATCAACGTTTGTCACACATTACCATTTGAATGTCCTGGCAATAAAGATGCTGCTTTCGGCAGAGCTGTATCGACTTCCTTTCTACCGTGACGTCCCACCATCCAGTAAGTGAGCTTGCCAGTCACCCAATTGTGTGCATTCACAAAGGCCACAAAGAAGAGAGGTTACTTACCTGTAACCATGGTTCTTCTAGTGGTCCTCTGTGAATTCATACATCCCGCCGTGTCTCCCCTCTGTCCGTCACGTTGTCCTCTTATATAGCTCTTTGACAGCGGCAGACTCTTTTGGGGAACTGAGGGGACTTCTGGTGAGCAGGGCATGTGCTCCATGGGGAAATGTCCCACTAATCACATGTCTTTAAGCTCTAGAAAATTCTGAGAGTTCCTGCGCAGGTGCAGAACAACCCAATTGTGTAAATTCACAGAGGACCACTAGAAGAACCATGGTTACAGGTAAGTAACCTCTCTTCACATCATGTTTTAAAATATATAGTGGGGAATAATATTTGGGGATCTTGTTTTTTTATGAATTTGAGGAGTCTAAAATAATAGATAAAAGATTATAATTTTAAAAACAATTATTAAGGGGCTAGACTTTGACTTCTGGGAAATAACCGGCCAGTCAAGGACTCCAACGTTGTTACCTGGATAGGACTGGATTAAATCTTTTGTATGGAAAGTAGGCTATGTGACATGGCTTCTAACATCAAGTACAAAGTTGTATACATATGCTATTCCACATTCTCACATGTTGTAATATCTCTTGCAATCTCCGCATTGTATTATATCATTAGTTCAATGGTTAGGAAGTTCCATTGCCTCCCTTTGAGAAGATATGGAAATGATGGATACTAGATTGACAGCAAAAAAAACCCACCTGTGGCACTATCAAGATTTACAGAAATACAACACAGACACACACACACACCTTCATATCTACAGATATGCATACATATATGTCTATGCATGTAAACAAATACAGTGGTGCCTTGCATAGCGATGTTAATCGGTGCAGCAAAAATAGCTGCAAAGCGATTTTGTCGCTATGCGTTTTTAAAAAGCCCATAGGAATGCACTGAAACCCCTTCAATGCGTTCCTGTGGGCTTAAAACTGACCTTTAAGCGAAGATCCTCCATACGGTGGCCATTTTCACTGCCCGGTAAGCGAGGAATCCATCCCTAAACACAGTGGGCAGCCATTTTTTTTACCTGGTGGCCAGTTTGGAACCGCCGATCAGCTGGGGGAAAATCATCGCTTTGCGATAATCGGTAAGCGAAACAGGGTACCGGTCATCGCAAAGCGATTTTTCTCCATTTAAAACATCGCAATGCGATTGCAAAAGCGATCGCAAAAAGTTCATCGGTATGCAATTTCGTCGTTAAACGGGGCACCTGTTAAGTGAGGCACCACTATAATGGGAACTAAACAACTCCCAATCAAGTTTTTCTGGAATCATTTGAGAGAGGCAGTTAATCATTAAAATGTATACTTATCAGAGCAACTTTTAAAAAGGTGGAAACTGAAACATTTTACTTAGAAGTTTCTGCTTGTTTTTCTTTCTAGTGTGTATATATATCAAGGCATTCACTGGGCTCTGATTCTGAATACATTGATTTTAGTCTCAATATGATTTGTACTACCTACAATTTTGTTTAAGTCTCGTACAGATAAGACATTTATGTCCATCATTAGTAAAAGCCTTCTTGGTAATTTTTCTACTGTGTTGCAGTCAACAAGCAAATCAATGATAAAGAGAGAGTGGCTGCTGCAATGGAGAATCCCAACTTGCGAGAGATTGTGGAACAGTGTGTTCTGGAACCTGACTAGCTACTGGGAGGATAATTGACCTGACATTTTTCTTATCCAAAGTCTCAATATATTTGTAAAAATGTGAAGGCCTTGAATTTAGTACTGGAGAGTTCTTTATATTGCAATTTTTTAAAGAATCGTTTTATAAAAATATATGTAATTATAAAGAAAACCATGAATAGGTCAATAAGTATTGTAAAGGGTTGTGATCCTGTTGAAAATTCATTTTTATGAAAAGATAATGAACCAATTTTGTTGATGTCTCATTTGCATGTGATTTTAAAAATCTGATTATGAGTTAATTTTTACATTTTATTGTAAAAGAGCATGTTGTAGCCACACTATGGAAGTTGAATAAAATACATAGTTCTTGAAATTTAGAGTCGTGTTTTCCTTGCTGATTCTGGGTTAGCAGTGCAACTCAAATTCAAAGATAAGTGGCTGTAGTGGGTTTGGAATTGGTAGGAATCTCTTGTGCCTGTGCAGGTGCCCTTGAGCTGCCAATTACTATGCTGGTTGAGAGATCTGATGGCAGAAGAGCCATAAAAGTGGCAAAGAAGAGGAGGAGCTAAATTATACCAGATCCAAATACAGTGGTGCCTCGCTTAGCGATCGCTCCATTGAGCGACAAAATCACTTAGCAATGCTGTTTTTGCTATCGCAAAAGCGATCACTTTGCGATGTTTCCTATGGGGAAAATTCGCTTTGTGATGATCGCGGGGAAGCGATCATCGCAAAGCCCCCATTTTTGACCAACTGATTGGCAGTTCCAAAATGGCCGCCAGGGGAAAAAATGGCCACCCGCTGTTTTGCCTCGCTTTAGAGGCACCGAAAATGGCCACTGCAATGGAGGATTTTCGCATAAGGTTTTTAAGTCCATAGGAACACATAAAACGTGTTTTAATGCGTTTCTATGGGCTTTTTAAAATTGCTTAGCGATGTTATCGCTTTGCAGCGATTTTTGCTGCACGGATTAACATCGCTAAGTGAGGCACCACTGTACCTCTTAGTACAGATTCACAGCTTCTGTGTCAGCACAAAGTGAGGTTTGGGATAGCAAAGTCAGCATAGTTATAGTTTGCAACATCGCTCAGCTGGGAGGTTTGTATTCAGCAGTGCTTTAGCTGGCTTAGTGTCCACTTACCAAACCCTCAGTCATTTTGGCTAGTTATGATTGTGCCATTAATCACGCGTAACACTTGCCCACATCATGGAACATCCCACCTTTATTCTCCTTTCAGCAGCCCTACAAACTACTCAAAAGGTGTTACAAAGAGCTTTTGTGAAGCAGCTTTTTGGTTGTTCATGCAGCTTTAATTACTCTGCAGTTAATTGAAATTCCCCCACCTATTATCAACAGAAGCCCAATATGCAACTACCTGTTTGCATTAAATTAAACTTCATCAGGCCATAATTGTAGAGAGCTTGCGATTCTTCTTCGTGGCCTCTGTGAATGCACATGATAAGGTTAAGTCCACGCCTGCGTCGGACTCCTCGGAACGTTCTAGAGCTTAGGAAAAAAATTGAATAATTAAGTGTTGCCCCTATAGCGCATGCTCCGCCCGCCCATAGCCTCAGTTCCATTTTACCGCCTTCATGTACGGAACCTCTCCTGCTAGAGCTCTCATTGCCTGCCTTTTTTCTCCTTTTTTCGGCTTGACTTTTGCATTCCAAACAACTACTCCTGCCTATCTGTTGCCCCTTTCAAACCAGACCGTATTTGGACAACGTTTTTTTGGTATTTTTGTGGTTGTTCTGGTTTACCTCAGACTGTTTCTTTGACTTTGCTTTGGATTTCAATAGGCTTCTTCCCCGCGCTCTTCCTGGCTTGATTTCAGACTGTTTATCACTTCTCTACTCAGTTTGATCCTTTGGACTGGTGCTGTGAGTTTTTCACACCCCCTGCTATCTGATTTATGTCCCCCTTAGGCCCCTTTAGGAAGTGCACCTCGTGTAGTCGCAAGTTACTGTTCTCAGACGGCCACGAGCGTTGCTTGTTTTGTTTGGGAGAGGGGCATTTATCTCAGGCCTGTAAAGAGTGCAAGAAGTTTACGCAGGCGGCTCTTAGAGCACACCAGCAGAGACTAAAACTTTTTCTCTGGGATGCCACCCTCTCCGCTTCACAGCCTAGTGCTATGGAAGCATTGCCATCCCATTCTGGGGCATCTAGAGTGGATGACTCTGTCAAGTCTCTCCCTATTCAACCGCCTTCTAAACCCAGGAGACCGATAAAAAAAGCGTTGTCATCAACGCCTTACCGCCGGTTGATGCTGTAGACAACTCTGCTCCTGGCTCATCTAGGGAGGTCTCCACCCTCAAATCATCTTCTAGGGTGTCGAAATCCTCAACTATAGAATCCTCAAGAAAAAAGAAAGACAAGGCTTCCTTGAAACCAAGGAAAGATCAGGCGCCAAAGGGGGATGATCGCCGCTGCCCGGTTACATCTATCTCTACTTCACCCCCCCTCTCCGATTTTGGAGGAGGGTGAGGAATCGCAAGAGGGTTGCCTTGATGACATGGGCTCTTTACCACCCCAGCAAGTTTCGGCGGCAGCAGGAACACTAAGCCGTTCACTCAGCCCTAACCCGCTAGATGGATACCAATATCTGGTGTCGGTTCTGCCCTTCATAGCCCTGTCTCAACCGGGTGGGCATCGTCGAGCCCAGCTTCACCACCACATAAGAGGTCAGCAAAGACGAAATACACCTCTCCCTCTCGACCCCATCGCCCGTGTTGAGAGATTTTTATTCTTCCTCAGGCTTCTCGATGCCGAGACAAGGCTTACCGGGATGACTTTTATGTCATTGACCTTAACCATCATCATCGAGGGAGAGACACTGACTCTGAGTCTCTCTTCAAGGATGAGATTTACCACTCCCATAAGAGGGTGTGCTATGTTTATGCCTCCTCTTCTTCACCCTCTGCTTCCCCTCCACAGCATTGAGGTCAAGGGGCATCCTGAGCTGATCCCCATTTATCCAAATCAACGTCGGGACACCACAAGCCCAAGCCTAGTCATGACCACAGATCTAAGTCGTCCATACAACCTGAAGCTGCAAGTAGACCACCCGCTCCTACTCCGGCACCCTCGCAACAGGTGGAGCCCCCTAAGGCTCATAGGAAGAGACCTCATCGGGCTTCGCCTCCACCCTCCTTACCTGAGGAAATATATTCTTCAGCGGGCTCGGCTGCACCGCTGTCCGCCCCATTTGAGAGATCGGATAATGAGTCCATTGCAGGTGCCCCATCAGAACCTGGCACGTTAGACATCCAAACCTCTTCATCTGCCAAAGACTATTCATTGTACATGCAAATGGTCTCTCGTATGGCAAAGGCTCTTAAATTGAACATTGAAAAGCCTTCCCCTTCCACAGAGGATCTTGTTTTTGGAATCATCGATAAAGGCAAAGCACCTTCGCTTAGTATCACATTCATCCCTTCCCTGCTGGCTACAATTAAAGAGTATTGGGCCACCCCAGCCACCTCTACTCAGGTTACACGAAGGGTGGAGACTATTATAAAACGCATGGAGACGATGCAGCCTTTCTGACAAAACATCCTGTGCCCAATTCAATCATTCTTCAATCTAACCAAGGCTTCTTCAAAGGCTCAGCTCACCCCTACCAACAGAGAAGGCAGAAAGTTAGATGTGCTGGACAGGAAAATGTACTCTTTCACCACCTTTCTGATCAGGGTTGCAAACTATCAGGCAGCCATGGCAGCTTACCAATGTCAACTTTGGGAGAGAGTACTGCCTGCCCTCCAAGAGGCTCCGGATGACACCAGACCCTTTCTTCTTAACACCTTTGAAGACACGGTCAATGTGGCAAAACACCAGTTGCTCGCTTCATGTCATTCTGCTGACGTTGCATCCAAAACCATGACATCCTCCATCATTCTACGCCATCATGCTTGGCTTCGGTCATCTGGCATCAATGAAGATGCCAAAAATTGTATTGAGGCCCTCCCCTTCGATGCCACTGGGGTGTTCAATGACAAGACAGATGAACTGATGGAAAGCTTCCACAAGATGAAAAAGACGGCAAAGTCCTATACCATACACCAACAGCCCAGGTTTCAATCCTACCAATGGCGTAAACCTTACGATACCCAGCAATACTTACCTTCAGCATCTCAAACTTACCTGTCTTTCAAGCAGCAGCCGCAAAGCAGACTTCCTCAGGCCTCATCAGCATCCACTTCCTTCCGCTCTCAAGCCCATGGTCAGAGACATCAGTCCTACTGTCCTCCTGCCAAGAAAATAAGACATTATCTTTGACTCCATGACTATGTATCCACACCGCCCCCCCTTTCATACTCGTCTGGCACCGTTTCTTCAAAACTGGCTAAGTATCGCAACTGACAAATGGGTTCTAGGCATCATTCAATCGGGTTATCGTCTAAAATTCTCAGAACTTCCCCCTCTGGGTCAGATCAAACCCACGACATTCGATCCAGCCCTCCAAACAGAGATACACAATCTTCTTCAAAAACAAGCGGTACAAATAGTTCCTCACGATCAAGCCACCAGCAGATTCTACTCCAGGTATTTCACGGTTCCCAAAAAAGACGGGGGCATCCGACCAATATTGGACCTTTGAACTTTAAACTCCTATCTGCTCACAAAAAGGTTTCGCATGGTCACAATCGAAAGCATACTCCATTTGCTGAGTCGGGGGAACTGGTTCACCGTCATAGACCTCCAAGATGATTATTTTCATATTTCTATTCATCCTCGACATCGAAAATATCTGCATTTTTATTTTCTAGACACCGTTTATCAGTTCTGCGCCCTCCCTTTCGGGTTGTCCACCACCCCTTGCACATTCACAAAGTGCATGGCCTCCGTCGCAGCATACCTCTGTCTGCACAACATAAACATTTACCCCTACATAGATGACTGGCTGATTGTGGCAGATTCTCCACAAAATGCCGTTCGCAACACTGCCTTTGTCCTCGAAGCCCTCAACATGCTAGGGCTTCAAGTGAACACTTCAAAATCCCGTCTTCAACCCTTTCAGATCACAAGCACTTCAATCGACTTGATCACAACACGGATCAATCTTCCTCCGCAGAGCATATTGAAGATCCGACAAGCCATCCGTTGGTTCCGACCTCACAAGACAGTCTCTGCTCACCACACTCAGCATCTCCTGGGCCTCATGGCCTCTACCACCGCGGCACTTCAGCATGCATGCTTGAAAATGAGATCCCTCCATGCCTGGTTTTTAAACGTCTGAAAGTAACACCAGAACTCTGGCAACAGCTCCAGTGGTGGACTTTTGCCCCTCATCTCCTTGTGAGCCGTCCCTTCCGGCTGCTACAGCTCACATTTCAAGTAACAACTGACGCCAGCCCTACAGCCTGGGGCTCCCA